ATAAGGTGCATTTTCCGTCAAAAACCAGGGGATTTGGAGCAGTACTGACCTATGACCTTTCCAAATAGCAGGGAAGAATAATTCATAAGGGGTGCAAATGGAAGCAAGACAAGCCATCTGAGGCCTAGGCACGATTACTGTCCAGGGGGACCTTCCCTGCTCTCCAGGGAGTCTCAGTTATGAACTGCTCCTCTGCACCCGTAACCTAATTCAGCTTTAGCTCCATCACAGGCCTGCAGCACTACTTACATCTTCAATAAAAATCCATTTTGCCAGCATGATAGGACATTCTGCATGATGGACAGACACTATTACCATTTAGATGGAGATCTTACGTTTAATGAGCGATACTCGGCATGCAACAAAAAGCATACAAGAAGTAAATTCAGCTGCAAGCCAAATGAAGATCCCAGCATTGCCTCTTTGAAAAGAAATGCTTTGTATCCTGGCTATTATGGTCTTCCAGTCACTATTTTACCCAGCTGAGGTGGCTTAAAGTTGATTCTTCTGCCTGTGAGCATCCCTAGGTTTGCAGTCAATGAAGATGCTTTTTAGACCATCACTCATTTCAGAATGCATCTTGGCTTTTGGGAAACAGCTGAGTTGGTTCTGCTTAAAGAACAACGAACATGTTATGGAAGGCCTATAGTGTTCAATTATTAAATTAATGATATGCAGAAGTGCTTTCAAAACATGTGATTTCATACTCTGGTCTGCATGTCAGTGCTCAATACACATAAATCTGTGCCCTCCTGGAGAAGCAGGAGGCTTATAATAGTCCAACAACTCATAAAAACAAAAAACGTGTCAGCTCGGCATGAAAGTCTGGTTTCAATTCACAAAAATTGACAAAAGCCACAGGAATACAGTACTATGCATGAAATCACTTCTAAGGGGTGGAATATATTCCACATTTACTGAAACATCTAAAATTTGCACCTAAATTTTCAGTTCCTACAGTAAGAAGCCTTCGATGTCTCTGTTTCCTCTCACGTCAGCGGAGAAAAAGCAGGTGCCCCAGACGTAGGTGCCTCAGAACTACAAGGAAAATGGATGCTTGTTTTAAGAAGACTGTTTCGCTGGGCACCAGCCGGTTGCCTGAGGTAGGGGACTGGATGCCATTCAAGAATTCCTGTAATTGAATTCTGCTTGTCGAAAGCACAGGCTAAAGGAAAACTGTGTCAATTTTTTTGAAAAGGTAGAAATGTCCCTGCAAGCTAAATACCAATCCTGACATGTACCAGAGAAGCTCATACCTACTAAACTGAACAAAATTCCTTTATTTCTTTTTATGAGGAGATCTGTTAAATAAACCATGATAAAGTGCCTGGAAATTTCAAGGTCATGATATAAAGACACAATAAACCAAATTTGGATTCTAATGGTGAAAGGAAAGGCATAAATTTGCTATCTAACAATTCAGCCAGCACTGAAACTGTAAATTTTTTGTTTTCCCTATAAGAAATACGCTTTGGCTGACGTTGCTGCTGCAAACTAGCAGGGGCTCGAGATGGTTACAGAGAGAACCTGTAACGATGACTTGCAGGGCAGAGAGGTTCCTCTTCAAGCAAGGAAAGAAAAGGTGAGCCATATTCCTGCAGCAAAGCTCAGCAGTAAGTTTGGCAGCTACACACACAGCCTTCCTACCAACCTGCCCATGCTCTCAGGCACGCCTCTGAGCTCTT